CAGTCTCTGCTGAGCAGGGCAATTCTCATAAGCCAGCGTTCTAGATGGTGAGTATGGGAAGAGGCTTGGAAATACATGTATTTGGCATCTAGTTTTGTTTTGTTTTTGGTGCTCACTCAAATATGCATTGAATTTTTCTCCCTCCTCCAAGAGACTTAATCAAATATCTTAGAACATAGGGCCCTAGGTATCTCAGTAAATTTTTATGGTGCCCTTAAGCTAACTGATACACCTAATAGTTCCATCTTTCCTAAATTCCAAAGAATTTAGGATTTCTGTCTGAACACATTAGATTCTGTTTAAAGAATACATACAAGTATTGAAAACAATTTTATTTTGTTCTTAGATAACTATAGCTGTCTTCTAATGGATGTGTGGCTCTGTTGGGCATGGCACAACCTCTCTTAAAGTCTAACGCACATAGCCAATTTCATTTCATAGGCTACATAAATTTTCATATGTTACTTGCTTATCACACACCAATCAAAAACTCTGTTTCATGATATGATGTCATAGAAAAAAATGTTTAGTGACCCAGAGGTGAAATTCTGAGCTATTTCAAGCTAGTCACTGTTGTATTTTTTGTGTCAAATATCAATGTTTGCATAAAAATTTTTAAATATTGTTAATAGTATTGTTATCAGTGTGAATAGGTACCCCACGTACTTTGCCACATAGTTTGGGGGCCATACATTTGATGCAGTTTAATTTTATTCTCTATCTTTTTGCCCAACCCACCAATCTAAACCAGAGCTTGCATTAAGTTTTTAACTGTGTATAATCTACTGAGATCTCATTAAACATCTTTACCACTGTTCATCTATAGCTCTGTACCTTAGCACATCTAACTTTAATTTACTTCACCTTCTGAAATACAAAACCAAAATGTGGACTCTAATATATGTTATAGGATGGGTCACATTGGTTACCAGATTCATACTGAAAATAGCAGGTAATATATATATATATATATATATATATATATATATATATATTTCCTCAACCAGAAAGACATTGTTTTGTGGTTTTAATTCTGCATGCCTAACAATGCAATAGAAGTAACTCAATACATTTTGTGGCTGTTTCCAGACAGCTGAGTAAGAGCCTGAGTATTAACATCTGTCAAACGAATCTCTGTCCCCACCACCCCTAGACTAAGTCTTTGAAAGAGTCAATTGGTACAAAGTTAGAATGTCAAAGAAGGCTGGGGCAGGTTATATGACAAACGGATGCAGGTCTTAAGTAAGCTGACTAGCTATTAATTCACAAAACAGTCTGAAAAGATTTGTGATGTAAGCTGACTTCGTCTAGACAGAGAAGGGAGTGTAAAACACATTAGACAGATACACACAGCAATGACAAGAAAAACCTGTTTCGGTTGCACAAATGCATGGGGAGAGAACTACAATTTCCTTCTCTGTCTAAATATCTAATTCCTACTGGGGCAATATGTTGGGAGTAGAGACTTTGTATTTTGTTTTTAGAGCTTTAAAATAGCTTACCTATGAACAAGAAAGGAGACTAAAGAAAAGAGAAAAAAGAGAGAAACCATGAGAAAGGGGGGAGACAGAGGAAGAGAGGAAGGGAAGGAAGAAGATGGTGGGGGCCAGAAAGAGAGGGGAGAGGGAGCAGGAACAGGAAACAGTGGCTGTGTCAGCAGAAGGGATGAGAAGGTAATCAAATCTGAATGCTAAATATTTTCCTGAATTTCAAAGGCTATTTATGTTTCAGCATTTGGAAAACATCACTGACCCAGTCCTATATAATTTATCTCTAGCCTCAGATGTATTGTAGTCATGTCTGTTTTTCTCTTTTCCACTTAAGAGTGGCTGAAAAACAGCGATGAAATGAAACCAGTTCCTACATTCATTCTATCCTGTTGAATACATCACTGATCCTTTAGAAATAGTAATCAATCAGGTCATTTCAAGAAACTAAATAGTCTGATGTATATATATCTCCCTTGCTTTAGAAACTTCAAGGTCAGGGTAAGGAAAACATTGGCAATTGGTAGAAGAATTCTATCTAGTTTCATTAAACATGCCAAAGCTTTGCTTTCATACAAATCTGCTTTAAAATTTGCTTGTTCTGAATTTTCACTTGTATTAACTCATATAAGCAGTCACTTAAATAATAATTTATGTATTTATATTTTTCTAAAAATAAAGCCATGAATTTTAATTCTAAATGCTCATTGCAGATTTTCCAAATCAGAGAGCAGGTAAGCGTTTCACTATGAAAAAGAAAGGAGCAACTCTGCTTATGCTGTGGTAAATACAACTGCAAAGTAATTATGAGAAGTCAGGGAAAATTCATTGTACTTTGTTTTGAGTGACTCTTGTTTTTTCTTCTTTGTTTTATTGGCTTTTTTACACAATTTTTTATTAGTACATGCTTGCAATATATAATGAATACTCATTGTGGCAATTTTTCTGGTATTGACAGATTTGTCTAAAATATTTCTCTGCCAAAGAATACTTGTTTTAGTAAATGATATTGTTGTGATGTGTTTAACACAACTAAAGAGAAAATAAAACTAAGAAAATTTAGCAATAGTGTAAAGGAAAAAAGTTTATACATTTCTTGGGCATGGGGTTTAAAAGGAGGTCCTTCCATAATTTGTGTTTTTCTCCTTGATTGTTTCATGCTTAACCAAAAGGCACTTGTTATGGTTTATATCTGGATGTCCCCAAAAAGCCTCATGCAGTTGCAGGGGGTGTCTTTTTTGGAGGCAGCTGAATCTAGAGTTTGTGATTGATTCATGGTTCAATGCTGGGATTATGGGTATGAGTGTTATACCTGCCCTAGGGTGGGTAGTCTGCACATACTATAAGAGACAGAAAGAGTTTCTCTCTCTCTCTCTCTCTCTCTCTCTCTCTCTCTCCCTCTTTCTTGTTGCTTTTGCTGTCTTCTGCTGCATTAACTTTTGGTCCTCTGCCATACCACTTGGTCTTGAGGCCAGCCAATTATGGACTGAAACCTTTAGAAACCAAGCTAAATAAACTTTCCCCCCTTAACTTAAGGTGTCAGGTATTTTGTCTCAGCAACAAGAACAGTAACTAAGACAGCACTTAAATAAGTTCTAGGTGTCAGATGATTCCAGGAAATGTTCAAGACCAATTTTATTAAACAATTTATGGTCAAAATTCTGCTTTAGAAGCAAAACAGCAAGTCATAACTGAAACAAAGGAATAAGCATACAGGATGAGGGTCAGGGTGGCAGAGGTTTGGGGGTGGGGGAATCTTCTCCAATTTATTCTTCCTCAGTGTATTCTAAGTGTTTTTGAATTTCAAGCATGCACATTCTGAACACTGAATTGTGGTTTCTAGTCAGTGTTTTGAATTTTCAGATGACGGTTAGTTTGTCATTTCCCAAACTAGATTATGGGAGATATTTATATCATTTTAAGCCTACTAGATGATGGCAATGGATGACAATGTGATAAAAAACGTTCCACAAATCTGCTCAGAATAGAGCATACAACAAAAGCATCTTACTCCATTCCAGTAGCAGTATATTTTAGAATCTTGGGCCAAGGATTTTAGTTTTATTGGTGTATAAAGCACTAAAAATCATAAATTTCCATTGTTACACATAATTATTTGTATCTTGTAGATAAAGGAAATATTTGGCTCCTCCTTTCCTTCCTTTCTTCCCTTCCTCTTTCTTTCTTTCTTTTTCTCTTTCTTTCTTTCTCTCTCTTTCTTTCTTTTTTCCTTCTTCCTTTTTTCTTTCTCTATATCTGTCTTCAATCTGCCAATCATCTATCTATGACTCTTTGAAAATAGTAAATGTAAAAGCTATACCTTAAGTCTCCATAGAATTTTGACAGTAGCTTATGAAGTAGATTGTCTCAGAAGTTCCATGAAGCAGGGAACCAGAATTATTTCATTTTATACAAAGACCTATCACAGACAAACTATGAAGAGTTATATTTCCACATTCCAGAAAGTGACTATAGTATTTGATGTGGTGACTGACACATTGAGTAGGGTGACATGCTCTAGTTGTAATTCAGAAGACAGTAGATCAATTCCAGTTGTTCCCTAAGGAGGCTTCTTAGCATCCTCTAAGCTTTGGCTACTAAGAAGATCATACTCCATTTGTAAAGATCTGATACTCAGATGAGAAGATCAGGGGCTGGCTGTGGTAATGTGAACTGCAGAAACCCCAGAGAACCCTCAAGTTCCCAAAAAAGGGTCAGGGAAGGTCATGGTTCCCAGACACATTTGGCAGGATCTGCTTGACACTGAAGCAGAAGTACAAACAGCAGAAACAGGGAAGTGATTTGTTTTCCTACCCTTTGGTAAGAAAAATGTGAAACTGTGGCTTTGCTGCTGGGAAAAATACAAATGAAGACAAGTATCTCTTTAATCTATGAGGACTCATAAATATATAAGAGGTTGGAGGCAGGGGAACAGCTGGCTACTCTGCTTCTGGATCACATAGCACGCTGATGAGGTCAAATGGCCTGCTAATTAAAAGAGATGCTAGGGCATGATGACTTTATTCATGCTTGTAGAACAGTAAAAGTTTATGGATCAGGGCACATAAATGAGAGATGCCTGGGGGTCGGCTTTGTGCTCTCCTTCAAGGCAGCTTTCTATGTTCAGGAATCTGGCTGTCAGTGGGTTTGAGTCAGTGGAAGAATGCAGCAGATTTTTCTTTTCTACTAGAATTTAGAGAGATGTTTTTTCGGCATTAGCTTAGTATTTTGCTTTTGGAATATGTAAAAAAAATGTATTTTAAGAAGCCTTAAGTAACTAAGCTTGACCTTCTAGTCTGAGTGGCACTTAATATTTTACTAATAGAGAAGCTGGTATATAATGCTGTGCAGACTCCATGATAAAGACGATATTGTTTTAAAGGGGATCTCGCATTTCCAGGGAACTGCAAAACACTGTTCTGCTTATGGCATTAAAACAGAAACAAAGAACTATTAAAACTCACAGATAATCTCCCTACCCAGTCAAAAAAAAAAGAAAGAAAGAATTCTTACCAGGTTCTGCCGTAGATCTAGGTTCTGTTTGTCCCATGAGGAAAAAAGGAAAAAAAAAAAAAATCAGAACAGAGTATTAGAACATGGCTCCATAATAAAAGACTGACCTTATCTTTTCTGTTGTCCTAAGACATGTCTGCAGAAATGCTGTAGACAACTTCCATAATATAAAAGTGAGAGTCAAAGTGGTATGTGGTCAATTTATATTTCTATATAGAAGCTTCAGTTCTAGTTAACACTTTATAGCAGGAAATGTTTTACAATGTAGTTCGTAGATGGACCATGAATCTGTGAACCTCCTAAAGTTATGTGTCCAATTTTGAGTAGAAATGCATGTGTGCATTTTTCTCTAAAAAGAATACAGAACATTTATCAGTTTCAAAGAGGCCACAGTTTTAATTTACTGGACCTCACACACTGTAAATTATCTAGTTGCAGTCTTCTTTGAAAACAGAAATCAGTTCATCTAAATGACTCAGTCCTTCTTGGCTTTCCTGAAGCTAGACAGGATAAAACGGTCAGATTTGAGAGGATGGGCACCTCTGCTTACTTTTCTGTAGGATTCTGAAATCTGGAGAGTCTTGGATTTCGATTCCCTGCCGGAACCACTGGACCTGCAGTGGGGGTGCTCCCCGGACCCGGCACTCCAGCACCACGACCTGGCCCTCGGAGGCGGTGGTGTTTTGCAGTTCCTGAAATTCAAGGGAAACACTGGTCCTCAGACTTTGACTGTGTTCTTCAGGAATTCCACAATAGAGAACAAAAATTCCGAACCTTAGAATGAAACAAAACAATCCCTACAAAATTTATATCCAAATAATTATCACTAACTCAGGTCAGAGGTAAATACTTCTAAATCCAGCTATCATCAGTTTTCCATAATCTCCACGTCAAGAGATTCCCACACCCTACGTTTATTATAAGGCCTGCAGCACTTTATGGTCTGTTTACAAATTTCCACTGGCATTCTTATATTTATGGAACTTGACAGGCAATGACATTTACTTTCTCTTTTTCTTTTAAAGAAATAATAGTCCTTTTTATCTACCGTTTTATTTTTCTAGCATAAAACTCATTTATTAAGACTGTTAATTATCACACATAGAGATCTCTAATAGGCCAAAGAACATGTAAAACAATTATACTAAGTCAAAGGAAACTTTTAGATACATTGTCTACATTTTAGAGTAAATTGGTACAGAACCATCTTAAAACAATTACACTGCAAATGAACTCAGAGCAGGAAAGAGACATATTTGTTTTCATATGCTCTAACCCCATGAGGGTGAACCTTTCAGTGAGTGAATACCCCAATTGCAACCCAAGACCCATTTATTTATTGCAAAGTGCCAATACTGCAATTAAATCTAAATACTAAGGTTTTACTTTAGGAAGAAAACTCTCGCAATAACATCATTTGTCTTAAAAGAAAAACACCGTAACGTGCGTGCCATAGCTTCACCACTGCTGTTTCTAAGCTTTTCATGTACTCCCCACAGCCTCTGCCCAAATGGTTTCCTATTAAGCTAAGGGGCTTAGGTATTTTCTCATTTGGAGAGTCTATAAAATATGAAAACACGCTGCATGTAAGCCTTATTTACCTTCATTTCCTCCTCCTTTGCCATAACCCTTGCTACCCCTCATCCCACTCCAACTCCAGACCAATAAAATTTTACAGTCCAATAGATTAGAAATTAACTTGCATCCATAGTTGCAAGGAGGTAAGGCTTTTGTACTTGCTGTTAAATATCAGTGTCCTACTAGTTCCCTTACATATGTTTTTTTCCACTTTCCTCTTCCAGGAATTATTAGCAATGGGGTTTATTTAAGTTTCTTGATTATTTAAACTTCTGACTACAGTATTGGACCCAATGTGGAACATGTAATTCAAACATGATGAAATAATTTATCTGTACATAAAGACTTTGTTTCTTTTGAAATTGTCACCAGGAACAACAGATAATTGCTTTTTTTAATTGACTGGAATAACAGATAATCACAAATCCTAGCAAATGGGAAAATAAACGCTATGGCAAGTGACTGTGCTAAAGCACTGTGAAAATTCTCAAAATCTGTGATGTTTGCTGGTGAATTATAAAATATTTGATTTGACTTTTGATAAAAATTTGGCAGTTAATAACAATATCTTTTTAAGTGAACTTCTGACTGCACTCCTTCCCAATTCTTATTTTTTAAATGCAGAAAGTATCTGGTTTTGAAATTTTTTTAACTTCGTGACCAGGTCCAGGAAAGAGATTATTTATTTGTTGTTTTTGTGGTGCTGTGGATGGAACGCAGGGCACCCTGGGTAAGTGCTTTACCACCAAGTCGTGCCCACAGCCCATGGGAGATCTCACTTCGTGGCTCTCAGCATGGTATTACTCATGGGTTCCAGCTTTCACAGACTGACCTATTAGAGGTTTCTAGTTTCATTCAGGGAGGCATTCATGTAGATTACAAATGGAAGTCAAATATTTTTTTATGTTTAAACTTTTGGACACCAACGGAAAGTGATTCATTCCTAAAGTTATGTATTTTTTCAGTGTTGGAAAGCCAGAAATGTAATTAATGCCAAGGTGTTACAACAATTAAACTGCATAGTTACTCGAAGATTACAATCGGGCTTATCCGCTAGCATTTATAAAGAATAAATTGGCAGAAGCCACGATCATACACAGTAAGCCTGTAAGAGACCTCCGAGGGCAATAACAAGAAGCTGTCAGAAAACTGAGTCAACCTTTGAGGTTGAACTTGGTGGTCTAGATCATCTATCCACCCCGTGTAGGCTATGGTGTGTCTTAGGATGCATAGAAGTCGTGCATCGAGAGCACAAAATAAAAGACAGATAATAGGAGCTGGGCGTGGTGGTGCACAACTGTAGTCCTAGTACTTGGGAGGGCGAGACAGGGGGATCTGAAGTCCAAGCCCAACCCAGCATTGTGATTCCCTGCATAAGCCCGATGGAGGAAATGCCCCACGACGGTAGCTGCCCATCTGGCTGTTTGTGCCTCCCCCATATGCAGAGCCTTACAGTCCACACAGGCTCAGATGCTGTGCCAAGTCCACCATTCTACCAGACCTGCAGGAAGGAGCGCTGGCTCTGCCTCTGACCAACGTGAAACCTGGACATCTCTTCCAGAGGGGTGTGCTGGAATAGAGGGAGGCAGCCTTTGGATGGGCAGGGCCCACCTGCTACCCCTTGTCATCACCATGGCCAAGAGCAAAGTCAGGGATGCCCAGGATAAAAAAGCTGTGGTGCCAGAGGGGGCCAGAGGGATGGCTCTCTAAACCTGTGCTTCCAACACCAAAGCCGAGGACCCTGCAAGGCAGATGGCAACTGCTGAAAGGGAAAGAGGAGAATCCAGCAAGGAAGCCACCCCGCAGGACACACAGGCGCCATGGTCCAAGTGTGTAGAGATTCCTTAAAAACTAACCTACATAAAATTTTATCTTTTTTTTTTTTTTCTTTTTACTTTGAGACAGGGTCTCCTTAAGTTGCTAGGTTACGCTCTGACTGAGATCCTCCTGCCACTACCTCCCACTGCTGAGATTATAGTTGTGCACCACCGTGCCTGCCTCCCATTATCTATCTTGATTTATATTTACTTAACTTATATTTTGGGCTTCCCAAATAAAAGAAGTCATGTACCACTTAAGCTCATGTGTCTGATTTATTTCACTTACGTTATGATTTCAGGACTCCTCTTGACGCCGAGGAGGAATTCTGTAACATTTATACCCGCCTACCTACTGTGGTACAGCTCTCTGGTCAGGAGGAGCAAAACTCGCCATCCTGTGTTCCTCCCCTTGTGTCACCTGTGTGGGCTTCAAAGGCTCTGATTCCCTGAAATCTGAGTCTTAGTTGACAGTGCAGGAGGCCACACATGCCTGGTGACAAGAGAAACTTGAGAAACTGCCTATAAAAACTTTTATACCATGTCTTGAGTGTGGGACTCACTGCTCTGGAACTGCTGTTCCAAGCACCAAAGACAAACGTCACTGGCTGTTACAGTGACTTAGAGTTCGGTGGGCTTCGCATGGCATCTTTTATCTTTTTCAATAGCTTCTCTAGAAGGGAGCTTCAGAGTTGTAAGTTGTTACCATTTGTTGCTTCTGCCCACTGGAAGCAGCATCACTGCTTATGAAAAGATCTTTAATGCAGCTTGGATTTTGTCCCGTTTAGGAGAAAAAAGAAAGCATTCCTCATGTGAAGATAATGAAGATGCTTTTTGCTGTGGCCTGAAGGAAGTTTCATAGGTTTACTTTCACATCTGTCTTTAGTTTACCAGGAATTCATTTTTGTGGACAGTGGGAGGTGGGTGTCCAATTGGACATTTTTCACCTCTGCTAAGGAAATTATTCTTTCCTCAGTGACTGGCCAGTTGCTGTAAGTCGCGCTGTACCTCTGTGGGCTCCATTCTGATCACTCGTTAATTTGTCAAGCCTTGGGCTTGTATCCACTATAGCCTGGGCATGATTTACCACAGATTCATGAGACTGGGACTATTTTGGATTTTGAAATATTTTCACGTATATTCCTAGATATCTTGGGATGGGACCCATGCCAAACAGGAAATTCATTTCTATTTCATAAATAGCTATGCTCATAGCCTGAAGGTAATTTTACACTGCTTTAAGTGTGTCTATATTTTGATTGTAACTTGTTATAGGATGACAACTGTGGAATTTTCCACTTGTGATATCATGCCAGGGCTCAAAAAATTTTAGATTTGGAGGCATTTAGGATTAGGGGTGTGAAACCTATAGCATAATTACTCTGTTTTAGAAAGACTTCCTGTCTCATAGGATAAACCCTCTCATTCTCTAACACTTCTTTATTTTTCTTCTTCAAAAATGTCCTGCCTTTTCTTTCCTATTGTTTCTTTCACACTACTATTAGAGTCAAGTTGCTAAGTCCTATATCAGAAAAATAAATAGAAATGAAGAACCTATTTGAAATTTGCAAGATTGAAATTAAATAGAGGTTAACAAGGGGATAATGACTTTTTTACGGCTCTTCTGCCCATAACAGTTTCTCCATTTATTTGGTACTTTAAAATGTCTTTCAATAATATTTTATAATTTTCTCCAAAAAATCAAAACCCCAAACAAACAAAGAAACAAAAAAGAAGCAAGAAGAAAAAGATGCATAAAAATTATAAGCCTGCCTCTTGACCCTAGTAACTGACTTGAAATTGATAATTAGTAGTTTTTGAATTTCAGTACAACTTACAAGGTCTCCCTTGCAATTTCTTTGTGGGGCAGAGGGATTTTTAACATTGCATTGTGTTGGCTTTTCTACCCATCTTAGCTTTTGCACTAGATTTTAAGCTCTTTTGGGTTCCTACCCTCAGTCACATCCCTCAGAGCTTTTGCCAGACTACAGTCAAATAGCAGTTGATCTATTTAGCCCCAAAAGGAGCCACGATAACCAGTCTACTAAGCTGCTCATTTTAATTTTTAAAGGCTGCTACCCAAAGTCACATGTGATTGAAATTCAAGGACCAATGCACACACTGAGAATGAGCCTTCCAGATGTCAGACCTTTGTAAAAACAGGAGGAAAGCAGGCTGCGGTGGTTCCATCAGGACGGCAGAGATACCAAGTTGGACTGTGAACCTGAAAAGAGCAGAGACACATGGATCAGATTCTAAATATATAAATTGCTGAAAAGATGGGCTAAAGAAAGCTTTCATTACTGGGATGGCTCCACTTGAATGAAACAAGTGAATGAAAGTATCGCCATACATCATTTGCTGGTCTCCTCTTACACCGCAGACACTGTTCCACTGCCTCAGTTCACATCTGCTACTCCTCTCTGTTCAAAAGGATATTCAAGGTAAAAGCTCTCCAGGTCCCAGGGGATCTACAAGCTTTTAAATGCTATTACCAAATGGATTTCTGTGTGTGGGACTTCCACAGGGGTCCTTTTAGAAGTTCTTACAGACATTCTATTTTATTTTTAAAGTCTGGATGCATTGAATCAAAAGCATAAGCTGTTGGCAGTAGAGGATAAAGCAAATGATCAGACCTCTACCTGTCCTATTTTTAACTTGTATTCTTTCAAAAAGGATTTCAGGAAATAAGGGAAAAGGGATCATTCTTATTCTTGATGTACAAAACAAAGGGATGAAATGGAATTCATTTCTGGGGAAATACATGCATGAGAGTAGTAAATGGAAACTACTTCTTTTTACACAATTATTTTTAAATAATTTGGATGTATTCATTTCTATAAATGAATATTAGCATTTTAATCCAAAATGATGGTGACCTGTTACAATGTGTCTAAATATGTTACAGGACATTGTGGAACATGCTGTCAGGGCTACAGAGATGCTTAGTCAGTAATGGACCTTATTCATTTTCCTGGAAAACTTCTTACTGACTTGTGATTCAGGAAACTAGGTCTCATTTTTCACTGTCTTTTGATGTCCAAAGAATACACAAACATTTTTATTGCGTTTTCTCTGTGCCAGACGTTGTTTTAAGTGTCATGTGAAGATTAACTTACTGAATCTTTGTGACAACCTGGTGAGATGGATAGCTTTGGTCATCTTCATTTTATAGATACAGAAAATAAGCACAGTAAGGTTATGTTACTTCCTTAAGGTCCCTCAGGTGGTCCAACTGGGATTGGGACTCAGATAATCTGGCTCCACAGTGTTAATCTGTCCATCACACACCACAATGAATCTACAACAATAAAGTGATGGAGTTTCCCCAAGTACCTCCTAATGGTAAAAGTGGGACACATTTTTTAAGCTGTGTTTAAAATAGGCCTTTTTACTTAACTGCGTATTTACATCTATAGATATACATGTTTTTCTATTTTTAGGCTTTAATAAATTTTGTCATATTTGACAAGTATTTCATGTGTAGATTTTCTGTTTCTCAGACTACTTTATAAATTCTTTGGGAAGGGGGCTGTATTAGCTTTCTTGTTGCAGGCACACAGAACCTAATACCCACAGTTTAAAAGAAGAGAGGTTTGATTTGACTTGTGGTTTCAAAGCACTCATGGTCACCTAGCTCCAACGGAGAAACATCATGGCAGAAGGGTGTAGTGAAGTAAACTGCTCTAATCTTGGTGGCCAGGAAGCAGAATAGAGGAACAGAGCTAGCCCAGGCTCAATACAGTACCCAAAGTCACACTTCTATGACCCATCCAGAAACATCCAAAAGTGTATGCCACCGAGCTCCCAGGCAGATCTCAAATCTGACCAAGGTGGCACTGCACCCCAAGGGTCACAGGGCTGGTGACAAGTGTCTAGTGCAGTACTTAGAAGAAATACTTCTCAATATGTGAATAAAAGAAAATTCCACTGATTTGATCGAAGGGGTTTCTATAATTTTACTCAAGTTTAGGGGTTTATACACAAGATCTACTATAAATGCCATCTCAAGTAACTTATACTGGCCGATTCTATTCTTTATGAACCCAAATTTTTTTTCTGCATATTATAGATCATGCATAATACACTATGAAGGCTAACAAAACGAGGATGATATTCATAAAACATACAGTATATTCATATATATATATTCATATAAAACATACATGATATTCATAAAACATACAGCTAGGAATAAATTTAGATTTCAAAAATTGGAAAATCTCTTTTATAAGTATTTTATGTAAAGACAACATGTCAAAGATTTGGGTACACTGATTTTCTAGTTTACAAAGGAAAAAGCTTGTTATTTGCAAAGTGAATTTGTTACAATTACTTTTTAGTAACTTGCATTATTTTTTCTTGGAAAATGCCATTTTATGATGAAATAAAGGTAGAATTTTTAAAAGTATGGTAAAGCTGAGGAATTTGAATTTTTTTCTTATGATCTATTTAGCTTTTAGGAATGGGAAAGATTTTCATTGGTATGTGGGCGTTTTCTATCTCTTATTTATTTTTTCCTCCCTTTTAAAATGATCTATTGAATTTGCTGAATGGAAGAGAGTACATAGGAGAGGGATGATCAAATAGTTAGCATTAAAACAAATGCCATTTTAACAGAAGTTCCCAAAGCAAATGCGAAAGTTGACTAACTGGCCACGGTGTGGCTTTCATTAGAGATTATTTTTTAATGGACTAAAAGGAATCACCAGTTTTCTTTCTCCTGGTTGTGTGTTCATCTGAAAATATTTCAACAGAGTAAGCTAGTTAGAATAAAGGCAGTATTCTTAAAATGGAGCAGTTAGCTAATGAATTCAGCTCCTTGTCCAGTGGGGCCTGAGGCACGATTACCTGTTGAACAGGGACAGATAAGGGTTGAATCACAGCTGTGGTCACTCCTGTTTTTGGAGATGATGATCCTATTGTCAAGGAAACCGAAGTTGTTTTCTTTTGAGCTCTGAGAAACAGAAATGCAAGTGTTCAGTTAGAATTTTATTTTAAGCAGTATTATTTTTTGAAATATTTCTACAGCGAGGTTTCTTTTTGTACATTTAATCTGCCTCAGGGCATTTGTTTCACAAAAGAACTCATAATCAGCAGCAAGAATAGCTGTGGTTAGCCTATGTGTAGAATGTACTTTATAGATACTTAGCTAAATAAAAACATGGATAGAAGAAAGGTAGCTGGAGGCAACTTAACTACTGCTAAAGACTGCAATATATTCATATTGATCATCTTGAAAGAAAATAAGATACTTGGAAAAAATCCAATCTTTATAAGCAAGCATGTATTTAAGATCGTTAGGGTTAAATTCCTGTATTTTACTCAAAGCTTTGGTTATCCTAAGTGTAGCAGCTCGTTCTGGCTTCAGCAGTACATATACTAAGTCCAGCAACTGATCTTTGTCCTGGCTTCTTTGTTGAGAGTACCTTAGAAATTTTTGTCTTTTTTTTAATGCGTATCAGCGAAGCGTAAAGAAAAGATGAAGAATCAGTTCCAAGCCCCTTCATTTCCAACCATTTGACTGTACAGATCAGAGCAATTCCTGTGACCTCACCTAACTGGAGTTCTACCTCATAACAGGAGTGCGAAAGCACATGGGATCTTATCAGGTTCCTCTGGCAGCAGTGATGATTTGATGCTCAATGGATATAACTTCCTAAAGTTTATGCATTACTCCACTATTATTTTCACTGTGCATATGAATGTCCTATAGTGATTATTTGATGTACATATATGTGGAATGGTTAAGTCAGAGTGCTTAGCATTTTGAGTGGATGTAGTTGTCACACATGTAGGAACGTAGACTTTTTTAGTACATCTTAATATTAATGAAGTTTTCCTCCTTATTCTGATCCATTTTTTTTGCAAGATAAGATACTGATGTTTTAATTCCTCTCCTATAAAAGTAACTAAACATTGTGATTTTTCAGGTGTAGGGTTTAACTAGACATAGACTTTGTCCATATGGAAATATATTTCTGCCTACATAGATTTTTGGTACTCATGCACATTTTTGGAATAATTTAAGTGGTTTTTTTTTTTCTTAAAGTGACTGTTCCTTTTATAATCAGCGAGATGGTTTTCTTTGAAAGCAATATTGGATACAGTTTTTGTGCATTCCTGATGAAATATGAATTTTAAAGTTCAGATTTGTAAGCTACACACTGTGTCCCGGATTCAGATATTGATCTTGATGGACAGCATGTAACTTCATACCTCAACAATCCTGCTGCCATTCTTTACTATATAAATACTTGATAGAATTGTAGACACTTACTGTGGCATATCTCCAGCTTTTGATTTAAAAACTAAATTTTCACTGTCAGAATCTGTTGAACTGGCTCCTGCAGAAACATTAAAAAATAACAATAAAATTAATATATCAGTAGTATTTATAATCCTTTTAACGAGTAATTTCTTCATTTTTAAACAGTGTCATGCAAAGTCTTATTTTTTACTTAAATACATAATAAAATGGAGAATGCTCTGGTCCATACTGTTTTCATTTCATTTCTTCAGAAAGCCATTTCAAAAAAAGAAGTACCATGAAGAGGTTTCTTCAAGACAACATGCTTTTAATGTCAGATTTATTATTAGTTTCATCTTTATCACTTTGGATATCACAACTATCTTTTCACAAGGTTTAAAACTATGAAGTAAATATCTGTGAGTTTTTATGTGGATAACACCCATGGTTTTCACTTTAACCCTATGAGACCGTATGGTGTGGGTTCATGAATGTCTTTATTACTTGTTAATCTGAAGATAGTTTTTGATTCTGGGGTAAATTCAACTGTGGCAGTGGCATCATTCTGAAATAAGAGGGTCTATGATTTTGGATTCATACCCTCCCAAATTGATTTATGTCACTACTATTCCTGAATTAAGAATTCTATAATATTTTTAGTCTAAAAATAAACTATACTCAGACTCTATTGTTTACATTTTGTGTCGAGAGATTTTAAGTGACAGATCTGAAGTGATTGCAGTGGTTAAAAGCATATTCTTGATGTTTCTAAAACATATTTCATATGAGTTATTTTGAATTAATTTGTAAAATATCTGCTTACAGAAAAGTAACTAAATATCAAGAATTATATAATAGTTAATTGAGCAATTTCCTAAATACAATTTGACCTATGCTTGTTGCCTATTTTCCAGAATAGTGTAATACATCAACACACAAATATCTATGCATATATTTGTACAAACGCATTCACATTCTATGCCTCACAGTTCACACTCTTGTAATTGCTTTTGCCGGTCACCAGTACACTTAGAATGCATAAACCTATTTCATTCTCTTGGATGGCTGTCTAGAATTGCTTTCCATGACTCTACTGCAACATGTTTCTCATCCTTTGTTGAGGTTAAAAACAGTGAAGCTTAGGTAACTGCTGGAATGGTTTCCCTTCCTGTTTACCTCTATAACAACCACTGGGGTACAGGCTTTCTTTTTCTGGCTCCTGAAGTACAACAGACTCTTATTTTGTCTTCCCATTTTTCTCCATTACAAATCCATCTTTGTCTTATGTCGGGTTAATTTTCCTAGAGCACACTTTTCTTGTTAAAGAATTAGATGATATACAAGTCTCAGTAGGTTAGAATTTCCAAATCTGTTTCTACTGGTAGTTAGTAATATTGTTCACTTTCCTAGGATATGCCTACCCAGCCTTTCCTTGATATTGTATCTTTTCAGATTACCCCAGCCACTTTTCTGTGCTGTTTTCTTTGTGCTCCAATATTCTTGTTTACAGCTTGCACATAATCTATCACATCTGTTAGAAAATTATTACCTCTCTGAGAACTGAGGTGGGGCTAAGAACGAAACTACCAATTTGAGATATTTTACTGTTTGCTTGGCAGTCTGCTAGGCTCTTTAGTCTTCTGATTATTACAATAATGAACCTCACTAAGAGGTGAGTTAGATCCAATACATAGGTAGGAAAATTGAGCAACCAAGTGGTTAGTTACTTTGCATGGGGTCACATAACCAGAAGACGGGAACCACACTCATGTGTCTCAAACCCATGGGCTGTGATTTTTTTCCCTGCCCCTGAAGACTTTCAGGTGCTGTGTCTCTGTATTCCACAAGGTGCTTAGATTTGTTCTTACTCGGGGTGGAGGCCTTTGGCTTCTGCTAGAATGAATGTGTGGAACAAGAGAATTACAAAGCTTGTTTGGGGACAAGGAGTGGACTGTGTGTACAGAGAAGAGCAGTCTACTGGTGAGGCAGGGGCTGAGAGACATCTAGAAGCACAGGGCTGACACTGAGACAATAAACTACAATAAAGAAGACAATAAGTAATCGACTCCAACAAAGAAAATCAGTGGTGAAGTTGATTGTGCAAGAGGCTGTAAATAAAAGAGGGCAAAATAAAAAACAAGCCACTCTTTGTCTACTTTGTTATGGACAAAGAGAGAGTTTTAACTGTGGTGAGAAGGGGCTGCTGAACAGGGGAGCTCCTGGAACCGCAGGAAGCATGGAAAGGTAAGGAAAAGACCAATTTAATTGCAGTCATAAAGATGTTTTGAAGAAAGGGAGGGGTGGTGAGAGTCCTTTGGAAGCTCCTGCATGCATGCTCCATGTGGCCAGAAAAATAATAGCTATTTTTATTTGATTTCAAATATTCAAATCACTGAAAAAAGTCTCCTCAGATGCCCTCTATTTCACACATCTTCACGAACGCGGGATGTAGCTTCCTGGCAGAGTGCTTGTCAAGCATGTGCAAGGCCTGGATTCCATCTCCAGCACCAGAAAGGGAAAAATAACTCATTCTTGCTCCATTTCTCCAGATGATGTTTAGAGAAGGGTAAAGGGCTTTTTAAAAAAGTTGTGTCCTGGAATAAAAATACATTTACTAGTTTCTGCACACCTGTCTGCCCTTGTGAAATCTCAATGTCACCTTACCTCTCAGGTGTCGGAGCAGCTCTGGCAGAAACAGATCAAATCCTCAGGTAGGTGCCACAAATCCCCGCCTCCCCTCCGCTGCCCTCAGGCAGTTCTTCCCTCCCCCCTCAGCCACCCTGAACTTCCCTCAGTCATCTGCCCTGCATCTGCAGGCCAGGAAAGACCAGTAATGACACTGCTAGGTCTCTGTGAGAGAATAGGTCAAGCTAAAATACAGATAAAAGCAGGATGCAAAAGAGTATATAAAGCAAACTAGACACAGGGATACAAAAGGATTAGACTGGGGTAGCTCAGTGGTTGAATATGTGCTTAGCATGTGTAAGCCCTGGGTTTAATCTCCAGTATCAAAAATAGAAAAAAAAAAGCAATTTTCCTAGGGCAGTAAGATTATATACATTTTCATGCTTTTTATGTCTCTTTGTGTTTATGCATTTCAGATTTTTAAAAAATAAAATGATTGTAGTCATGTTTATAACCCATAGTCTGTGACTGGCAACATTCTGGGCAGGGGATTAACCAGCCAATCTTGACATCAGCATAATTTTCTCCATGTACAAGTGGAGAAATCAAAGAAGTACAGAGCCACTGAATAATGGACCAAAGTCACGAAGCAAAAAATTAAGCTTGTTAAAAAATGTTAGAAAAAATTATTTTAAAATAAGCAATGAGAAGACTAGCCCAAGTTGGGGATGGAGGTTTAGCTCAGCAGAGTAAACACTTGGAAAGTACGAGGTCATGCATGAGTTTGATCCTCAGTACCAAACAAACAAACAAACAAACAAAGAATAGCCCAAGCTGTATGCCTTAGATCCTCTCATTGTCTTCACAAGTTCCCAAAATCTAGCAAAAACAAATGTATATCTAACTGCTACAGGAGGCATCTTGGTGGTCCTGCATCCAGGGCTTTACCCTGTTGAGATCAGCAGGAACAAGTATTCATTTAATATCACAGCTTGCTTCCAAATGCCACTTCCAGGGTGCCCATCGCGAAGAACCCATAAGCAGGAATTGCTAGGCAGCATGGCACTTGTGCCCGGCTCCCAGCTTTCTATATTTTCTTTGGCTGCCCTGCCCACCTCTCTACCAGGTCTAAGTCAAAATCCTCTAAATACAATGTCTGGTTTAATCCAGCTTTCGTTATGCGCTATTTCAGGGCCAACTTCCCACTCTTCTTGCAAGAGATGGGAAGATACAGATCATTACCAGAATGATCTGTATAATCCATTTTACAACTGCAGGAGGAGTTAGTGGTGGAGAGTTGACATGTCTGTGTTTATGTCACATGTTTACATTTCCTATTTATAATTGTGAAATTGAGACTCACTGCCATCTAGTCCTTGAGGCACTGGCCTCCTATCTAGTATATATATGACCAGGTATCATTTCTTTTCCCATTTTCAAATACTTCACATCGCATTCTCTCTCTCATAATCTATTTTTGTTTCTTGTACTATTTTCATCAGCATTAAAAACATGCTCTAGTAACTCCTGCCTGAAGACAAACCACAAAAAAAATTTCATGATCCCGTCCTCCTTCCCAGATACTGGCCCACATCTGTGCTGATGGTTAAGCAAAACTTCCCCAATGGGTATCTAGTATCAGTTATTTCTTCCATGTTTTGCAAGCTGTCCTTAACTCATTCCATTTGGTTTCTGGTTCCTTCTCACATTCCCAGTGAGTCCTTTCTTGCTAAAGTCATCAGTGACACCCATAGTTGCTAAATCCAGTGGTTTCTTTCTTTGCCCTCATCTGACTGACTTTTCAGCAGAAGGGGACACAGTGAGCAACCCTCCCTACCACACCAATTTCCCTTCCTTCCCTTAACACAACTCTGCCTGGCTTCTCTCCCACCCCAAGGGCTCTGCCTTCTAACTCTATTTGCTGGAAACTCCTCTTCTAGATGCCCCAACAGGTGGAAGCCTTGCAGGCTGAAACTTGAGGTCTTCTTTCTTTCCCACTTCCTCTTTCTCCCTGGTTAACCTGTCTGGTCCTGTGTGTATTCCACAGCTTTAGCTATCATCTATGTTCAGATGCTCAATTCAAGTTTTCTTACTCATGCACTAGATCATGCTCATATGACCAAATATTGACTTGTTACATCCTTGACTATCCAGATAGGGATTTGAAATTTATAATTTAAAGAGCATTCGACCCTCCAAACTCCTAATTCTATTCTTCCCTAGTCTCCCCTGTTTCAGAGACTGGCAATACTATCCACACAAATGGTAGGACCACAGCCCAGGGGGTATTCATACCTGCTGCATCCTTTCTTATCACCACGGCATATAAGCCATTGCAGGACTCCGAGAGCCTATTTCTGAATTCTCTTTCCCATTTACATGTATCCTCCTGGAACCCCATCCTTTTCCCTCATCTTGCTACAATAGCCTTCAAACTCCCTAATTTTAAACCAAAGCACCAGGCTAAAATACACATTAGAATGGTTGGGGTTGTCACTCAGTGGTACAGCACTTGCCTAGCTTGTAAAAGGCCATAGGTTTGATCCCCAGCACTGCAACGTGAATAAGCAAACTTTAGCAAACAAATGCTTTCCTCTTCCAATCAGATAGTGTGACTTTAAGGTTTAAACCCTCCATAGTTTGCAACTTGATTTAGAATCCAGGCCAAATGCTCACAGTGACCAAAAGGCCCTGTGAGTCACCCCCTCCCATGATGCTGCAGCTGACTTGGAGGGCCAGAACTTTTAGTGCACATGCGCTTTCCCCCACCCAGGCTTCTGCATTTACTCCTGGGGTCTGGAGCACCGTTTCCCCAGCCTTCCCTACTGTAGGCTTCTTGTCAGGCTTCTGACCTTAAATCAAATGTTATCTCTTCAGAGTGGCTTTCCTGATCAACTTCACAGACTTGCTGGTATTTGGGATGATTTAGGGTTTAACTGTCTCTCTCTCTCTCTCTCTCTCTCTCTCTCTCTCTCTCTTTCTCTCTCTCTCTTTCGTCTCTCTTCTGGTGTCAGCAGCTATCTCATTCACTGATGTGTTCTTCACGGCTGAACCACTGCAGGCCTTATTGTAGTCACCCCATACTTACTTGAGGATGGAGCAAAGTGCTCAGTTACGTTCCCTGAAAAATACTGGGCTCAATCCTAAATTAGGAGACCAGATGAAAGCCAGGGTAGTAGTGGCCCCAGTGATAATGAGTTCACTGGCATTTTACACCGCAGTTGCAGAGGTTAAGTTTCAGAGTTGGACTGCTTCGTGTGTGAGCTCACGTGTGCGTGCCTGCCATTTTGGTCATTATTCAGCTCTAAACTTCAGTTTCCTTAACTAAATAAACAGATGACTTTGTAAGGACCAAGTGAGGTAATCCACACAAAAATGAAGACTATCATTTGGCTCCTAGTTAACCCTATATGAATGCCAGCGATTGTTCTTAAGCTATGATTTCTTTTGTATTATTATAAAGCTTTGTGCACAAGACAGAATCAAATAGTTTCCAACCAGCAAATCATTAAACTTTTACAGTAGGTTTTGTTGCTATCTAAAATTCTGTAGAAAACTTCCTACCCTCTCATAGACCTCCAGTGTGTGTTTGCTGATGTGTAATTAGCAACATGTTTGAGGAAGTAACTTAGTAGGAAGATGCCTGAATCTATCTCAGTGCTGGAATTAAAAAGACTTACTACTGTGAGTCACAGCATGAGCCTGAGAATACATGTCTCTCATTGTTTGTAGGGATTAAAAACACACTAAATTTCTCACTAAAAGTTATTATCCGTATCCGGGTAACTGAACTAGGTTGCTGAAGTACTTTATGCTAGTTTAAAAAAGATGAGCCTGCATGGTTTTTTATTCTGGTCTTGCTCAACTCTTTTATCCTCCCTTCGACTTGTCCAAAGCCACACACAATCTATCTTAAGCCTCATAACCTGAGGTTGGTTTGTAGTGGTATTGTGGAGAGACACGGAACTCAAGGTTAGTATCCCCACACTGGGAAGCTCACTCTGCTGGCTTCAATAGTAGCTCTGAAGCTTCTACTTAGAAGAACTACATTTAACTAAAAAGATTAAAAATCAAGGTTCTCAGCATTTTGGGTTCATCAGAGTTACACAATGAAACTGGTTTCAGACGCAGAGAAATATTTCCTTTTATTATAAGTAAACTAAGTATAGCTTATATATCTTGTAATTAACTTTCTAGGTTTTTGTATTTTTACAATATATAACATATAATGTATGATACTGTACAATATATACATGGTATAATTTATCTTCTACCACTTATAACATTATATATCCATCCCTACTTTTAGATTGGGAGCTTCCTGATATCCAGAGCCTGGATATTAACCATATTTATATTATACTCTGTAGCACTTAATAGGGCCTTAATAAGTGTTGGTTGACTTGAAAGAATATTGCTTAAATTGATAGGATATTACTTAAATCTAATGTGACTTCATTTAATATCTGTAATATAGAAGCAGTACATTCCAAAATTCACTGCATTTCTAGTACGCTTGCAATCAAATAAAACATTTTATTTTAAGGTTTTCTATTTAAAGTTAGGATTAGGGTTCCAAGATTTGGCTATTACTAATTTTGCTACTGTAAAGAGTAGTATGCATGTATCAATGTAATATTATAACTTTAACTTTTTGGAGAAATACCCAGAAGGGCAATAGCTGGATCATATGGAATTTCTGATTTTTGTTATTTGAGGAATGTCCATGCTGATTTTCATAGTGATTATACTAATTTACATTTCCATCAACAATGTACAAGGGTTCTTTGTTCCCTCAGCCTAGCTAGTATTTGTTATTATTTGATTTTTTTGGTGATGGCCATTCTTTCTGGGTCAGATAGACTCTCAGGATTGTTCTAATTTGCATTCTTCTAATGGTCAGTAATGTTCAACATTTCTTCATGTACTTCTTGGCTACTTATACTTCTGTGAAGTGTCTAATCATTTCACTTGCCCATGTTTTGACTGGGTCTTTTACTTGGGGGGTTCTAATTTTACTGAAATCTATACATATCCCTGATATTCACTCTCTATTTGAAGAAGAGCTGTCAAAAGTTTTTTCCCATTCTGTATGTTGTCTTTTCACTCTGTTAGCTGTTCCCTTTGCTATGCAGAAGCTTTTTAATTTGATGTGATCTAATATGTTGGTTCTTGATACTATTTTCCATGCAACCAGTGTTGTTTACAAAATCCTTGCTTATGCTTATGACTTTAAGAGTTTTACCTATTTTATCTTCAGCAGGTTAAGTGTTTCTGTTTTAACATTTAGTTCTTTGATCTGTATTGATTTTAGTTTAGTGCAGAGCTAAAGACATGACTCTAGATCCATTTTTCTACACGTGAATAATCAGTTTGCCTAGAACCATTTTTAAAAGAGGCTATCTTTCCTGCAGTGTGTAGTACATTATTTTTTGAAATTATTCCTATCTAGTGATTATAAGTTCATAGTACATTTAGCAAGAATAATGGAGGCTTAACAAAAGAGGCATAGTTCTAGAATTTAATGAAAATGAACACATTTAAAAATATTCAATTGCTTAACATTCCCATGAATGATTTTCTAAACCATTTAAAAGTTTAAGTTCAGTTAAAATGATATTTCAATTATGTTCCCATGCTTCATTTACTTGAGAAAGAAAAAAATAACTTTGATATTTTGAATTTTAAATAAATTCACGTCAATGTAACAGACACATTTTAGATAGAAAGGAATGAATGTTGACATTAGACACAGTTGATCTGTGCCTAGGTGTCAGAACCATTCAATTTATTCAGCTTTTTTAGGAGACATGAGGTTTGAATCACAATAGTATCATGCTGTTTGCATTGGAAAGACATATTCTCAAGGCTCCTTACAGCGGTCTTGGGTTTAAGGACCATCAGTGCTCTTTTCCCAAGCATCCCTCTTACCTTCAATGAATACCTCGGCAGAAGTTGTGTCTGAGCCACTAGAGTTTGTAGCCAGGCAGGTATAACGGCCAGTATCCTCCTCAAAGGCCTCCGCTATGATCAGTTTATGGAGGTCCCCGCCCTCACACAAGATTTGAATGTCGGGAGTGTTGTGCAGCTCTTTCCCCTCACAGAACCACCTGCAGGCCAAATGGAGGTCAAAGGACAGTAAGAGAGGAAATGGCGGTGCTTAAAAAAGAAAAAAATAAAGCAGAAGTAAAAGGCTGGATGCTATTGCTATAAGACATTCGTCCGTTAAAGATCTGTATCGATATTAAGGAAACTCTTCATGTTAGACCATGAAATGAATGGCTAGACAATTCCCGCAGGTTCTTCTTTGTCAAGCATCTCGCATATTTTATCAACTTGGAAATAAGGGATCTTGTTAAAGTTAGACCATTTTGGTTACAAAAGTAAGACACTGAAACTCAAAATGTCATAATAAATGCCTTGCACATTGGTTACAGTTTTATCTACTACTAGCTAGAGAAAAGTAGAAAAGTAATATAAACATGATGTTCAAATATATCTAATATCTTTAAGGCAGCCCTCATTCGACTAAAAAAATCACAGGCAGCGGTAATTTTGATTTTCATTTCTGATCAGCTGACCATTAACAGATTTAATAGCTTCCATATTTCTGATATTTACAGAACTTTGTAGCAGACCACCTTGGCTTCCAAACTGCAGAGAGACAGAGCACTTACACTGTAATTCATCCTTACTGGCTTACTTTCCCCAAACAGACAGGACCGGAGGTGTGAGGCTGCAGCCCGCCTGCCAGTTTTAACACAGGTTTCTCCTCACACTCTTCTTACCTCTTTGCACCTCAACTCTCAACAGCATCTGATCACTTTTACATCAAAAAATCTTTCCCTCAAGTCCCCAGATGTGATGTATTTTTAGATAAACATGTGGAAATGTGTCACAACTAGCCAAATTGAAGTCAATGGAACCTCATAGTCGTTTAGATCTTATTTGCAGCAGAGATTTTTCTCTGAGTCTAATCTTTCATAAAATTCTTTGGAATTAGGCATCTTGCTGTGAAAATATGACACTTCAGCCTAATTATTTTTCTTTGTTTTGAGTAGCGTAACATAGGTTCTTGTCTATATTTAATTTGAAAATAAAGTTAATGAAGCAATTAAGTTTGCTGATACTCAGAGTATTAACCCAGAAAACAGCACTGAAAATTAAATAGGAGATACTCATAAATGGATAAATAACGTTTTGGGAATTAAAGAACATAAAATAGGCAGACAATTGAGCACTACACTCTATGCAATGCAACACACACTATTCTGGAGGCAACTGAGAAGGGCAAAATTTCTGAATATTTTTTGATATTTGCCCTGAAGGACAAAATGTGGTTTTATTTTCATAAAGGCTTGGAGAACTATGCAGCTTAGAACCATCTCCCAGTCTCTTTTTTTTCTATTCTCTTTTCAAAGCCATTAATGTTCACTGAGATTTTTTTGTTGGCTTTTTGAGACAGGGCTTCACTATGCAGTTCAGGCTGGCCTTGGGCTGACTTTGTAGCCCAGGCTGGTCTTGAACTTGCAAATGATTCTCCTGCCTCAGTTTCCTAAGTGCTGGGATTACAGGAGTGGGCCACCATACTCTTAACTGACCTCTCTTTTTCCAGTAAAATAAATTCTTTCTATATTTTTTCATAAAACTAATGCTCTTGAACTTCTTCCCTACACAAATTAGCCCTTAAACTTCAGATCTGTCACTAAGACCTTTCATATACTTCATATACTTTGGTCTTTGCTTTATCTTCTAACATTTTTCTATACTAATCCTATTTCTTTCAAATAGTTCTAGGGTCTTCTTTTTCCCTAGAAAAAGCCTGCAAGTTTTATTTGCTTACTTTTCTTTGCTGTACTTTCTCCTTGTTGGAACTCTTTATTTTCTTTATCGATCTCATTTAGGATCCACTCTCCCTTAACTACAGGCAGGCTTTTTCAACAGATCAACTTCAGCTGAATATACATTTGTTGAGCACTTTCGAGAAGGTATTGCCTTACTTAATACAGGTGATACAATAATGCCTGCTAAACTCTGAGGAGTTTGCATATCTGTACTGCCCATTAGTGTCTTAACTTTCCAGAAATTAAAAAGGGAAAAAGCCAGTATTAGAAAGAAAAATGAAGCATGAAATATACAATGAGGTTTAAGGGAAAGGTAAGTTTCTTTTGGAGAGCGTGCACCATAGAGAATCCTTTGTCAGGCACACAAATGTAGTATCGTGTGCTCTAACTCAGTAAATTTATAGTCTGCGAGCCTGTTTTTACATAAGTGGGAGTGAAGAATAGCTTATATCATTTTAAATACGTGGAAAAAATCAAGAGAAGAGTAATATTTTGAGATACCAAAGATTATATAGCGTTCAAATTTCAGATTCCATAAATTTTTAAAAATAAAACCATGCCGATTTACACATTTGTCCACGATTACTTTGTCATACAAGGCCATGTAGAGAAATAGTTGCCACATACCACACTGCCTGCTAGCCCAAAGTTCTAACTAAATTCTTTGAGAAAAAGTTTGCCCATTGTTGCTTTTTATTTCTCAAAGCGTGACCTCAGATCAGCAGCTTTTTAGACATACAGCATTGTGAACTTAAGCCCCAAATCTATTGAATCAGTTCAGATCCCTCAGGCGACTCGTGTGCATGGGGAGTTTCAGTGCCAGGCTGATGCCCCTAGTTTGCCCTAACCTGGACTCACAATCCTGGCTTGTCATCCATAGCACTCCCTTCTTTAACAGAGCAACCATGCTCTAAGGTTTGTTTCTCTGATCCCTTGCACAGAAGTGCATAAATTTGTATTCATTTTGTTTGTTCCTTCCATCTCTATTTTAGAATTTTAACATTGGTCATTTAGCAATCAATTACCACTTGGTGATCTTTTCTGTATTGTTTCCTTATATCACTACTGATACATAAGGTATTTATGTCTTCTTTCCCCATCTAGAAAATCTACTACTTGATTGCAAAAAAGATGCACCTAAAACATATTTATTGATCCATAGTGTATTGCACATAGTTGAAAATACTGTCGCTCACACATTAGTTAGGATACAGTTCCTATGAAGAGATCTGTATGACCTAATGTGTCTGGAAAATGCTAGATAATACATTTCAGTAGTCTTGGTGATTACATTTCAATTTTCTTATTAAAGGCCCTGAAAGGTCCTGCAGAAATGAAATTTGCCTAATGTTGTCCAGTCTAGCATTTCCTAAACTAATTTGACCATGACATTTGTTTCTCATTTAACAACTAAGGTGCTATGTGAATTTTGCAGAAGACTTTTATAGAATGTTTATTCCTCACAACTCACTTTTGAAAAATAGTATAAGATGAATTATAAACTAAGTAATAATTATATGGGTAAAAAGAAACCCCGGTGCATCAAAATACTTAAAATATATCTTAATACTTGCAGAAAGACTAAAATAATAAATGCATTTTCAGCAACAATGGTTTCAACCCCTTGTCTCTATCATGCCCATGGTATTTAACTTTCTCCATTATACTGAAATTAGTTCTTTATGTGCAGTACCTTTATATCTTACAGGAATGTAATTTTTGAGCCAGGCTTTTGCTTAATTTTCCAGGCTGAGTTTGTGCCTATAGTCTTCCTACCTCGGCCTCCCAGAGTTCTGTGATTACAGTACCAGTTTATTTATTTATTTATTTATTTATTTATTTATTTATTTATTTATTTTAGAACTACCAGTTTTAACATCACACACTGGATGTGAAACGTATATGCTACAGTCCTATTTGTTAAGTTTCTTCTTACTTTATTTATTTATTCTTATTTTGGACACAAGGTTTCTCTACAGTATTCCAGCTGGCCTTGAACTCACTATGTAGCCCAAGCTGGCCTTGAACTTGCAGTGATCTCCTGCTTCAGCCTCCCGTGTGCTGGGATTACAGGCACGTGCCATCACACCCTGCTGTAAAATGTCTTAAAAATCATAATTCTAACAGCTTCCTGACAAAGGATTCAAAATATTTAGTATTCTTTAGGGAAGAAGTAGAAGTCAGGTCTGTCAATTAAATTTTGATCTCTTGAAATTTTGTCCAGATTAAATTCTTATTGCTAGTGTACCTTAGGAAAAACAATACTGATGTAATGAACACAACAGTTAAAACATATAAAAATAGGACAGAGAACAGGTTTAGTGAATGAATGGCAACAGGTAGTAACACTGTTCTCTTCCTCTGTGATCAGAATGTTTTTTGGTAGTGAAATAGAAAGTTCCAGAAGCCTCGGCATAGCTGTTTAGGGAAACTATCAATCAACTAAAGTTGAAATCATAAATGAAACACATTTGCCAAACTTGGCTTGGTCTGTCGCTAGAACACACAGTTTCTCTTTCTTCTAGACCTTCAAAATCCTTTCAATTTACAATGAGGTGAGCAGAGAGGGGAGGTGGTTGAGAAGGGAGCATGTATGGAAGCTCGTTATGTGGTTAACAGAGTCTGCTCCGGTAAAATTATGCTTGAAGTCATCCTTGGATCATTCCTTATCCCAGCTTTAATACCTGAATGCCATTTAGTTAGTAAATAGTACACTGGACAGCACATTGGAAGATTAAACCTTATGAACCTTGAACACATGTCAACCTGAGTCACACTTTGAATTTTCTACTATAAAATTATTAAAATAGGGCTAGAGATATGGCTCAGTGACAGCATTTGCCTAGCATGACCAAGACCCTGGGTTCAACCCTTAGCATCACAAAAAAAATATTGTTAAAACAAATAACTGTATTCAGTTTTTAAGCATTTATATAAATTCAAGTTAAGGAAAGTTAATCTATCAAATGCCTTTAATATGCTGTGCAATTTGCACATGTACTTTTATTGTACTTTCACAACAACCTTGTGAAGTCACTGTCATATTTTCAGATATAGGTAATTCTCATTTATCTATAGGAATGAAAAAGAATGTGGACAATTAAATCTAGATAAGCTTGAAAATTCCATTTTTCACAATGCTTTTGGCTCTATCTTGCATTAAATTTTCTGCTGTGGATATGAACATGTTTTAACAAAGTTTACTGATTCCTCTTTATTAATCTTTTGTGCAGCTACTAAGCAGCTATGTAATCACTACATAACAG